CGTGTTGGTGGAAAGGGTTGAGACACCAGAAACTTTTTCTCTTTACTTTGCACGAATGGCTGTGGCGTCGCAATAAGAATGTGAACGAAAAGTTCACACCGGACCAAATGTGTACAGAGATGGGAAAGCTCTGCAAGTGGCGTCCTTGAATGAAAAGAAGGCGCTGACGCCCACAGGCCACCCGTCACGGCGTGACCATGGGTAGGTTATACAACAGTTCGCCATTTTTTTCAAGCGGGGATATATGAACCTAACCAACCAAAAAAAGGATGGCATCTAAGATTGGCGAGCAGGAAAAATCTAAGGTGAATAATGGACCCACTAACAGTAGTGAAGGTTTTTATATAGTCAATCTCCTGGTTGATCATGTTTTTCCTCATTCACATTGCCCTCTTGGGGTATCATTTAGTGTGGCAAACCATAAAGCATCCTTTCTTTTGCCGAAAACTGGATGGTATAGAGTATAAACATATATAAACCATCGCGTAATTGGAGGTTTATGGCATCGGGTTTTCCACTTTTTTAAACCGATGGCGGTTCTGTGGAGAGGTTACCTGGTTATTCCCAGGTGGGGATGGGAATGCTTATTTGACCCTCGTTTGATGTGTCGGAAAGGTTAATGGGGATTATAAAGGTGCATAACTACCAGGGCACCCTCTGGTAAACTAACATAACTATGGAAAATCACCATTTTTAATGGGAAAACTCACTATAAATGGCCATTTTCAATAGCTATGTTAAATTACTAGAGGGTAGCAGAGGTTTTGACCCTATGCCCAGATGGGAACTGGTGATTAACTGGTAGTTAATGAACGAAAGAAAGGGAAATTACTTCTTCAAAACGTGTACAATGTGGAACCCCCAAAATAGCTAAGTTTGTTTACAACTACAACAAGTAGGGTTTATTCGGGATGCGATATAACTATAGTTATTACTATAGTTAGGTCGTGTTATAAACTGACTTACAACTAGGGGGCCTCACTATGCAGGGGATTTGACGCCTGGGTGGGTTTGTCTATGGAAGGATGGCCCCCAGATCTATTGCTATTTTTTGTAACGTTAGGTTTTAAACCATCGGATGGAAGGATCAGATTTTCATACAAACCCACGAGAGTGACATTCATTGCACCGGTGCGATTTGATAGGCATACAGGCTTAAAGACCCAGATATGGAATCGAATCTGGCAACCACAGGCGAAGTTTTTGGAGCAGGATGCGCTGTTCTGCGCCTATGCCTTGCTGAGCACCGAGCAGGGGCAGGAACTTCCCAGGTTTTTGATGTTCTATGATATCATATTCCTTTCAAATGGGTCATAAAGTGACGGTCTCTCACCATCTATCATATCAGTATCCCCATTAGATCAAACTAGTATCCCAATTTTTGGCGACACTAATATGGATAAACCATGATAAACCCATATCTTGTAGCCCCATCTTTGGTGCCTGGAATGTCCGAAAAAACCAATTCCCAACCGAATCTGATGCTTTTTCGGGGATGATCCCCGGAGCTTTGTGACCAGTCAGGACTTGGAACCCAACTTCCCAAGTGATGAAAAAGCCGTTTGTATGCCAGTTACTGAGTCATTGTTGGTCGGTCATCTCCCAGCATTCTTTGATTATATAATTATATTTTTGTTTCCTGTGACTAGTGTACTTACATGTTTCTTCAAGTGCAAGACGTTCTGAACCTCAACGACCAACAAAAAGTCACCTTGAGTCATCACCATCTCAAACCTTTCCAGCAGTTCACATTTTCCCAAGCACTTCTTTTTTGGGCGTCCCCGGTCTCCCCGGGTCTCCCCGGTCTCCCCGGTGTCGGTGTCAGGAGCAGTTGGCCCCGACCAGCGGCATCGGCGGTGGCGGCGTGGACGGCCACATGCTGCCTGGCCTCGCTGCCTCGGCGGTCGCCCGGGCGCTGCGGGAGGACAGCTGCGAGGCGCCCCCGGTGACCCACGGTGACCCACCGTGTTTTGGTGTTGAGCTGGGTAGCTGGGGACCAAAAAACATGGGGAGTTGAGGCAAAAATGGGGATGACAATAAAGTGATGAATTTTAACTACGAAGAAATAGGGACTTCACCATGAAAAATAGGGGATTTAAGCAACAAGAATCATGGGATTTGACCATCCAACAATGGGGATTTAACGAAGCAACATGGAGATTTTGATGCTGATTCAACAACTTTGATTGGGTTTGAAATAATTCTGAAAAGGGGGGATCAACTGGGATTTAACTTGATTTAACCATAAATTTAAGGGGATTTAGCCATCAAGACCTGGGTTTCAATGAAATTTACCCAACAAAAACGGGATGTAACATGATTCAATTGTCCAAACTAGGGATTTAGTCAATGGATAATGAACATGGATGTCTCTTAAATTGGGGATTGAACCACCAATAAGTTGGGTTTACCAAATGATCTGATGGATATATATATATATTGGGAGACGAACCAAGTGATCATGATTTGGCTATGTCTGACAATCAGGGATTTAACCGCCAAATGGCCATCAAATAGTGGGGAAGATCATGATGATTCATTGGAACTGGGATACCCTATGTCCAGATAGACTCAAATAACGAGTGGGTAAAATGGATGGTCATTTTTGCCAAAAGTAGACTGCATAACCTATGGATGTTAATTAAACTTTGGGTTGAGGTAGCTTCCAGTTAGGATATTCTCAACAGTTGAACAATTTATTCAAGACTGGAGGCGTAGTACAACAATTGGGAGATAAGATGAAACAATGCTACTAGTTGGGGTAGGAAGGATTAATTGATTGGTAAAACAATTGGTTATTGACAACATTACGGGGGTTAATGTCACAACAACATAGGAATACATGACGAACATGGATGCTACTACAGTACTGAAACAATGACGAACATTGATGATAAGGTGATAAGGGGAGTAGTTGGATGCTACGGGGATATTTCACTTGAGATAACCAGCAAAAGTCAAGTGGGATCAATTCTTTTGATCAATATTGATGATTTGGGAGCGCCAATGTAACTTATAAATCCGGGGATGAATATATATATATATGTAAATTTGGGTTTATTTGTAAATATAGATTTGAGAATTAGAACGATGATGGTGACCGGGTTGATTATTGTATATAATGATGGTTTGTAAGCGTAACTATGCCCAATTGTTTGTATTCGAGGTTGTGTTTATCAATGAAAATTAGGGTTAAATGATATGAGTAGTTAGTACAACTTATGATTCACCAGTCATTTATGGTGAATTACTATTAAGTATTGTCAAATTATATTCATGGTTTTAAAGGAATTAGGGGAGCAATATAGAAACGGGGACATAACATGATATAGCCGGCAAACACGTGGGATATTTCGGGGAATTCAGTTTTGATGGACGGAGATACATCAGTAATTAGGCAAGTTTTCGACCTGATTAAGTTAGTCATCGGAATATTGATAAACAAACTTTATTCACAATTAGGGGGCAATTAGTATATGAGTAATTAATGAACACATATTCATGATTAATATGATCAATTCATTAATGCATAGCCAAGCGTGATGATGTGGTCTCCGCAATTCGGAAGCGAGGTTTGAGCAAAGAGAATGTTATGTTACAGGTGATACACGCTTTTGGGGCTACTTGAACATGCTCATATAAATGGCTTGTCATTTTGCGTATTGAATCTTTCATTCTTTTTTTTGGCAGATTCTGAAGCCCTACCCATTCCTACCCATATGGAAGACCACCGACGCTTTGCATCCTGTGTTGCCGACTTCCCTACAGAGTTTGACGAGTGCGGATCACCTGGTGTTTGAAACACAGGGTTAGACTTTTGCTAAGAAATTCACAGTGCTCTTGGGTGTTCCAATTCGGATTTAGAATACACCTTATTGTACGGGCTGTACCCAACAAGCTGCTTGCAGATACCTAATCAAACAGACCAACCGACGGCCGACCGTCAGGTAGATTCGTAGGTGGATAGTTAGATGGGCAGGTAGGGAATGATGTGCATGGAACGAGACCAACCACAAAACATGCCCTTCAGTGCCCTGCAGTGAGCCATTTCCATCTGTAGACATTTGGCGGGGCAGACTTGGGAAGGCTCAATCAGTTGACAGGCCGCTATGTGGGGGATGCGCATCTTCGAGCGAATATGCCAGAGGCTGGAAGCACTATACTATACATCGATGTTGATTTGGCCGGTGGTTTGAGAAATGTTTTCTGTCAGGATGTCTTTATCTTTTGAATATTGTGGGGAGGGGCTAACACAATTTGCAACAAAATTATGTAGCAACAATAAATTAATCATACTTATTTTTTTGCAGGTTTGCTATATGTGCATTGTGCTGGAGGACACCCTGTGGTTCAGATGGGTTCCACCAACTCTCGCTGAAAAACATGGTGTAGACATATTGCATATCTCCATGCCTATGTCGACATTTACTATCTACTGTATAATACAACACACACACATTTACATATATATATATATATACACATGCACACATTTGTCGAGCCGCTATATAAACTACACATATATAAAACCAATCTATGTAATATAGTACAATGATGATAGCAATAATTTAGCGTCACACACACACATATATATACATTTATATACACACTGTAGCTAATGATATACCTTGCAGTCTATATTTAATGATACTACATATAATTTGTACAGTATATACAGTATATACAGTAGATACCGTATATCCGTATATACCATACTATATATATATGGTTTAGGGCCTGTTACAGGCGTTCTTTTTTGCAGTGTTTTCACACACGTCTACGCAGCCTTTGTTTTTGCAGCGCGCATCCATGTCGCAACGACGATCACCGTGGTGAAAAAAAAGTCACGTGCGCCTGCCACTCTAATTCTTTGTACCTGCCGGCCACAGTCCCTGGTTTGTTTCCAGGTGAAAAAAAGGCGAACATGGGCACGCCACGCAAAAATTGAAAGCTGCCTGCCACAACTTATCCATCACAGTACCCGTACAGCAAGGATACAAAGTACCATCAGCCAATCCTCCTGGACAGGTTCAGGCACCGGCACGCCTGACCAAGTTTTGCAGAGCTCGGCTGCGTGGTGACTGCGGTAGTCGCTGCGTAGGGCCCAACATCAACTGCCAATGGTTTGCCGGCGGCGTCTGCGGGCTGGTGCTGCGTGGGCGCCTGCCGGCCGGGTTCCCCGGGGCAGGCACCCCCGTGTCTTCGTTACTGTCTCCACGTGCGGCGACTAGGGCGTATGGCAGACGCTCCATGGCGTTCGGCAAGCTTACTCCTAACCCCCGAAAAATAAGCGTAAGCGTGGTACATAGTGCCTGTACATCTATGTGCTTGTAACTGTGTGTAGCATTATGTGAGTCATGTAAATCATGTGTTTTCTAAAGGAGTTAACTAGGTAAACACTTCTTCTTGCGCTTCTTTACACACCAGACACACTCATTCACGCCGCGCGGCAGCCCGCCTGAAATGCCTGCAGAGGGGTGGGGACCTCATGACCTTTATGTTGCCGGGGTGATACTATTAGACTTGAAAGGATGAAACCGCTATGTTCCTACGGGCTCCGGGCTCGTTTCCAACAGTAATAAAATAGTAGCAAACCATATTTACAAAACCGTGGCCTTGAGAAAGCGCTAGAACTCGCGCAGAGCCTGCATCCACTAGTATAGTGCAAAACACCGTGTTGGCAAAACACTGGCTGTCAGAACGCGCCAGAACTCGCGCAGAGCCTGCATCCACTATAGGATAGTGCAAAACAGTGACTGCCAAATGGACGCAGATCCGTGATGCTCTAAGAAGGCTGCGGGTGCATCATCGAAATCAGGGCTGCGTGCAAACACAGCAGGGAAACAGCAGTACATGTGCATCATGTAGCTCCGTACAAGCGGCCTCTGACCCCACATGGGGAACATCACCGAACATGCTGCCCCGCCTCCTGCATTCTCAGGGGCTCTCGAAGAACAGCGCGGCCTGGCCAACAGGAGTGTCCAATCAGAATATGGTCATGTGTTCTTGTAATGCACCGTTTCCCCAGGGATTGCATCCTAGGGGGGGGGGAGGCTGGGGACTCCTGGTGGAAATTGCAAATCAGCCACATACCCCCACCAGCCCCAAGAGTCCCCACCAAGAGCCCCCTACATTCTCCGCACAAACAAAACCTTCACTGGAGAAAAGTCTCTTTCCTATCCTCTGCTAGCACCTTGCTTCTGCACTGTGGGGCTTCTTTCTTTCCCTCTCTCTTCTTCTCTCTCTCTGGATCTCTCTCTTCACCGCCTCCGCTCCGCCTACCAATTGCTCCGCAACCAAGCTCCGCGACCAAGCTCCGCGACCAAGCTCCGCGACCAAGCTCCGAGACGCCAGGCAGCCCCTGCGGTGTTTCAGATGTCTCCACCCACAATGCTTCGAAGTGCAACACACAGAAACACTGTCTGACTCACACGACTTTTGAGTGCAAATCACCACGTGTAGAAAACCTCGTAAAAAATAACGCCGGAAACGGGCCCGAAGCCATATATATATATATACACATTCAAGTTTAACGATATGTATGTACACACATTTATACATTGCTATATAGCATATATTTTAAGCACAATGCATATTTACATTGTGTATCCCAAACACGCCTTCTCATAGTTTCATCCTGGTACGTCAAGACTCAAGAGCCCCCAAGTACCCCCCCCCATTCAAATTGTATATGAAAGGACCTTCATGTAGAGCGGTAGCCACGATGGATCCACATTCAATAATCATGGCTGTGCTCACTACGCATTTTTTTTGATCGAACTGTACTTCAGCTTGAAATGTTTGGTGAACTAAACGTCATGTGGCTACATACCACTTGGACGGAGGCCGGCCATAGTTTCAGAGGCGTCCCCAGTTTTGAAGCAGCCAATATTGTGACTGAACCTTGGGGACCCTCAACAATATTTACTAGGTCCTCCCTTGCATGCACATATCATGGGTGCAAACCCTCAGAACCAGGGTCCAGTACCCTAGTGTGAAGGTCTGATGATCGTTTGGAATACACATATCACATGCACATGTATTCACACAACATACGTATATACACATGTGGGGGTTCCCGAAAATAGGGGTACCCTAAATCATCCATTGAAAAATAGGACTTTCATGGACTTTCCATTACAAACCATCCAACTATTGGGGTACCCCCATGACTATGGAACCCCCCGTGTAAGCACAAGGCTAAGTCACCTGGCTTCGCGAGGCATGCCTTGATTGTTGAGCCTTACGTGGATGTGATTTTGGACGCAGCTGGGCCACCATTTTGTTGCCCAAGTCAGCCATGAATGGGGAAATTGGAGATGTCCGAGAACTGCTGCGACGCATTTGGCAAACCCAGTGTCTATGATTTTCCCAGTCAAACCCGTTAAAAATGAATTGTGTTCTGCGCCATGGTTTAGCTCAAGGTCGTTGCGCATTTCCCAGCGAGAAAAACAGGGCATTGGTTCACAGATCGACGAACACTTGGTGGTTTCATAGCATCATTTTTCTGCCCAAAAGTCAGGCGATGTTGGCAGAGAACTGCCTCCACGGCACGATGGTGGCGGCCAGCAATGCTGTAAGCCACTTGGCTTCGGTGTGTCCTGTGGCGCGGGAGAAACTGCTGGCGCGCTATGTGAGTTTGATCAAGGCTGCTGGGCTGTGTTGGGAAAAACAGTGCGCCAGGTGGTGAGGGACGTAAAAATGGACATTCCAAAAACGTGGGCACATGCGCCAGGTTTAAACAAGGCACTGGATGTGACAATCCCAACTACCCTCTGGTAAACGTTAACAAAAAGCTATTGAAAATGGCCATTTGTAGTTGATTTACCCATTAAAAATGATGATTTTCCATAGTTATGTTAGTTTACCAGAGGGTATATACTTCTTCTCAAACTATGGATTGGCCATTTGTAACGAGGCCTATCATTTGTAGATCATCCATTGGCGCCTTGACGAAGCCCCCCATTTTTTCAATGCATCGTTCGATCGATGCACCAGGCGTTGCAGTGCAAGGGGCACATTGCGGCCTGTGAAGGGACGGAAGATGGGAAGGAGAGGGAGAGGGAACTGATGGACTGGGTGCAAGTCTTGGTGGACGTCCTGGGCCCCCCGAGGCGGATGGCGGGGTGGGGACCATGACACAACTATAGCCGATTATATAGCAGCTAGATGAAGAATTCGGACTTGGGAACACTTGACTACTTCTGATTGCTGATGTATGTCTAGCACTTGTCCTTCATGGTATCTAAACATCTTAAGAACCCTCCTTTGGGCAACGATGAATTGCTTTGTGGCTTTGGCATTTGGCGGGACGGGAAAGAATTCATGGAGGATCCTCTGAACTGCAACAGGTTCATGTTGGAGTCTTGTTGGGTTGCCGGACCTCGCAAAGAAGAACATCAATAATCCCATTTTGTGATATTTGAAACTTGGTGAGGACATGGCAGGAGGTTTTGTTGGCTTGAATATGCTTGAATCAGGAGCTTGGCCAAAATTCTGAATGAAGGAAAGCTTCCCCTCAAATAGAAAAGACCATTCATGGTACAAAAAGATCTTCCCAAATCAGTCTTTCCGGATGTTTCCGGCATTTCCGGCACAGTGTCCCAATTTTTTTCATGATGATTTTCGCCCCTTGCGCCATAGATTTGGTGGGATTCTCCCCCCGGCGCAACGGATGCCGAAGCGGTAGGCCGGTGAAATCCGACGATCAGATCTTGCGGGAACAACTGCGGCAGCTTGAAGCGGACGAGGTGAAATCCGCTGCAGCTTGCCTATGAAAACATGGGGAACACCCATGGGAAAACTCTGTTTTTTTTACAAAAAAATCAAAAAAAAACCTGGGATTTTCATGGAGTTTGGGAGTTTTTTTTATAGTTATTGTATAAAAATGAGGACAAACTCTTTGTATTTGAGGAATTCACAATATATAATATATTAATATATATTATTTTCTTGCTCAGTACGTATTTGGGTCAAGTCATTGGGGTACCCAGTGGAAACATCTGAAGAGACCAATTTTCGATCGTGCGTTTCATCACATTTTTAAGACTCATGATGTTCTCCTGAAGTGGAAAGCTCACACGCCAAACGTTTTTTTGATGATTTTTGTGTTCCTTTCCTTCGCAATTCCGAGTGTTTTGAGAAAATTGCGTTTTCGCCTCAATGCCATATTGATTTCGCTTGTCTGTAGCGTAGCATCCAGTAGGTGTGCAAGTGTAAATGAAGACGTCTGTGTAGCGTACTCGTAGCATCAAGTGCGTGTGCAAGTGCAAGTGAGGACGTCTGTACCGTAGCATCCACTAGATGTGCAAACGCACGTTATTGTCCCGCCCCGCCCCACCCCCCACCTCACCCCACCCCATCCCCAAAAATGGTAAAAACATGCAAAAACGCCGGTTTTCGGTCTCTAGGCTAAAACATTGCCAAAATCCGCAAAGAGATTTGCATATGGGCCAAGTCAATGGGGTACCATTATTGACCCACAAAACGATCATTTTTTTGGCTCTGAGATCATCCAACATGGTGGATTTGCACCAGAAATGAATGTTTCAGCAATGAGGAATACCACGATTCAATGAAATTCCACCAGGTTGTTTCTGCAATTCAAAAATTCTTATACAAAAGTAATCCACAAAGTTGGAATTGTTCAGTTCCCACTTTGGCTCGTTGTTTAGAAACCTTAAGTGTATTCGTACGTGCGGCGTTCAGGAGAAGTCAGGGAGCAAGTCGAACACCGGTACCAAATCCAATCCCGGAACGAAATCGCGGACGGGAACCATGTTGGATTCGGCCAGCAGATCCGGCACCAAGACGACTGGAACGAAGGCGGGGTCGGTGCAGGATGGGTTTGCCATGTTGTTGCTTTCTGTTGCAGGATCCAGATAGGGATGTAAGATAGGGGTTGTGTGAAGAACGTTCAACACATTTCAGAGATTTATATGTTTTTCCTAAATTAAAAGTTGGTCAATGGCAACATATGGCAACATTTGGGTATACTCCAGCAATGGAGTATACCTGCATACCAAAACTTATCAAATTTCATGGGGAAAACGAGGTTTCAAAGCATGCAATGTTTTTTTTGGGTCTCCTCCATTTTCAGAGAACCAGAGTTTGAGGATGTGGCCATTTTACCACAATACGGGTGACCCTCAGGAGGGCGCTGGGCGGGAGAGCAGCAAATTGGCTTCTGCCAAAGTCACAGTTCTGTGAGAGCCAACAAAGCCCTGAAGCGACAGCAGTTCCTAGCAGTTCCCAGGGGCGTCGAAAAGATGGTAAACCGCTGGGGGAGTTCAAAAACAAAGAATTGTGTGTTTCTGAAATTCGGACCCGCACAAGCAATGTTTTTGATATGATGTATTTCTGGATTGGACATAGATACGGGGTATCCCCAATGTTGGGACAAACCCAATTCCATTTCCATGCTCCCAAAAATTGGTGAGAGTTTCACGCCTTCAAAAATGCAGGCAGCTCTAGCATCGGCCCAGCTTTTGGTGTAGGGGCTACATCCTCTCTGGGGCAACCACAGACTTGATTCAGGGCTTTTGATCACTTCAAGCTGGTCCCTGATGTTAGCTGCGACTCAAAGGGGTTGTTTTCCTTTGAGAGCACCCCCTCAGATAATGTCTGACCCTCGGCGATCTGAGGGTCGGTGTCTAATGCGACACACTTAGCCTAGAAAAGAAAACACTGCGATGAACTGGTGTGGCTGAGTGGCACCTCCTGTGTGGCACGGCTGAGTTTCCATGCCAATTTCCTCCATCTGCGATGTGACTCTTAAGCTTTTCCGGTCCAACCTCTTCAACGGATGTAGTTCACATAAGCTTCTTGTAGCAGCTAGCCACGGCTTGTCCGGTGGAAAATGGGGTTTTGTTTTGAGGGCCTGGAACTTCAGACCATAGAAAACAATTCTTTGATAATCTTTGGGGGGGCAGTTCCGATGAAGACCCAAAGTTTCACCCACCAAAAAGAAAGAATTATATAGGTGTGTTCACAACATGGGATGTGGCTGCAAAAGGCCAATGACCCGTGCAAGGTACCTCTGAGCTGCTGAGCCTCTGAAGCGACTGGCTGTTGTAGTCAGATTCAGGTGGCCAATTCCCGGTTTGCAATCCAGCCGATGGTGGTGGGAAAGCAGCCCATGCAACATCCTCAGTAGTTTGGGGTCAAGACGGTCAAGATTCTGGGCTCCCCGGCTGGATATGGCTGGATGCATGATGTCCACGTGTCCCCAAGGTACCAGGCCTGAAACTTTAATCTCAATGAACCGGTGATCAGTCCCCATCAACCCCGATTGTGAGCGGCAAAAAGAACTTCGAGCTGCGGGGAGATCTGTGGTCTCAATGCCTCTTTTGATTTGCAAAAAACATTGGTCGGTTCAGCAGCCGAAAAGGGCAGTTCAGTAGTTCATCTCAAGATTTTAGTTTTTTGCTTCTGATTTTAGTTGGTTTCAATTTGGTTTCAAACAGCTTTTCACACCCCCAAATTTTAAGGTTGGTGGACCCGAAACAAGGCCGCTCATAGTTGGCGCGGCAATCACCGGCACCGGAGCCTCCGGACCCTTTGCAGGCACCGATGAGAATGCACGGCAGAACGACATCTACCGCTATGATGTTCGCAACAAGTGCTCTGGCTCTGCAAAGGGGAATGAACGAGATGCCTACCCTCTGGTAAATTAACATAGACCCTGGCAGTCATCGGGGTTGGAAGATTCGTTTTCATCAAAACTAGGCCCTTTTCAGGGTCCAACTGATAATTTACCAATGCCTAATATTTTTCGTATAACCCCCCTTTTTTGGGATGGAATCGTCTCACCTGAGCTTTTTTGGGGGGAGCTTCCCCTAATATTCAGTGATTCGATGATTGATGAATCCGGAGGTTAGACTAGCCTGAAAACATCATAATCCGTTAAAGTCCATTAGATGATCTTTCAACATCGGCTTGAAGTAATCCATTATCCTCTGGTAAACTAACATAACTATGGAAAATCACTATTTTTCATGGGAAAATTCACTATAAATGGTGATTTTCCATAGTTATGTTAGTTTACCAGAGGGTAAGATCTGCGATTTTATCCATGATATTGATATTGGGATTGACAGAGTCAATTTACATCTTAAAATCCACCAAGAATGGCTTAATTATCATAATCCATCAACATCCACTATAGTACTTGGGGGTGCAGTTCCACTCGTAAGTAGATATCTTTCACTAGTTATAGGGGCCCAATATCCCAAACCCCCTTATGAAGAGTAGAATCACCCAAGTCCTGCACCCGGAAGTAGAACCTTCCATTTTGGAACTGGTAAAATCATCTATAAATGATCTATAATTATCATAAAGGGGAATCCTCTGTTTGTTCGTGAAATCCATAAAATAACCCATCCATAAACAATCCATTTTTTCTAATCCATAAACATCAATTAAAATCCATCAAACATCCACTCAAATCCACAAAAAGCCATCCAAAATCCATTACCCTCTGGTAAACTAACAGTTTGCTATTGAAAATGGCCATAGAAATAGTGGATTTACCCAGCTATAAAATAGTGATTTTCCAGTTCGCTCTGTAACAAATTACCAGAGGGTAAAACCCATTAAATCCCATTAAACCACCATAAACCCTCATTAAATCACCATTTTCCTATGGTTTTCCTATGGTCTTCCTATGGTTTTCCTATGGTTTTCCTATTAAAACCCATCAAATTCCACGAAGATCCATTGAAATTCCGATGATTTCACCGGATTTCACCGGAGCCCCGAGGCTGTGGGCCTGCATCGACCCCGTGACTGGCAGTCCACCCTCAGCCAGATCCGGATCGAAGGACGCCGAAGTTGGAGCATTTCAAGCATTAAAAGATAGGCATTGAATGGGAGAGGGAGATAAGGGGATTATATATATATATATGTATCTATATGTATATATATATATGTATATATATATATGTATATATATATATACACATATTATAATCAAATAATACCAAGTATCATCCTAATTTTGCATGATACACCATGATATGATTAAGTTGCATAAACAGTAGCATTTTTTATTGGGTGATTTTCATGTGGATTCCGGCATGGGATTGATCAAAAATGTCAGCAACAAGTACCAAGGGCTGTACCATGAAACGCATCTACTATGGACAAAAAGGCACAATGTGTGATACAAAAATTTTGGGGTATGGAAAACTGGTTTAAGTTTTTTTTTAAATTGTTTGTAAATCTATTCTATGAAATGATCATTTCTTGATTGTTTCCTTCTTTCCTGTTGGAGCAAGACGGGCCATTTTTTTACTGCAACCATTTTCGCTGACTTTGCATGTTTTCTTTTCCGCTTTTGAATGGGCCCCTAAACGCGTTCGTGTCCGTAAATCATGAATGAATTGCTGAAATGTCGTTGTGAGCAATTAAAGGTTACAGCAACCATCCATCAAAGCAGAGACCAATTCACCAAGCACCATGTGATCAGTGAACATAGGTTGCTCATAGGTCTTGCCATGCATCTGGTGCGGGACAATCTACATTTCGTGATGATTTGCCTTTGGTTCATTCGTGATTTTTCCATTCTCAGCTTTGATTCCAGAGGGTTCTGTTGAGCACTTCGCCAGGCAGTGGTGTGTCGGAATAGCATCTTCTTTTTTGGCGGATACACCAAGAAGGCCAGGGCCCATTTCCGGCGCCATTTTACCATGTGGGGTGGACGGCCTGGTCGTAGAATGATATTGTATAGAAGTATTGGGATGGGTCAAACTCTCCCTGCGGGATCACAAAGTTCACTCATTTTGACAGATTTTATGGGTTTGTTCGGGGTAGCCTCAATTTTGCGATCAGATATCAGGCCATGTTTGGATCATTCTTGTGCAACCGCACGGGGTCCGGGTGCATTCAGGATGGAGACTACTTCAACGATTTGTTCGAGTTCAACATCCCGGAGGCACACTGGACCCGCGAGGAACCTTAGATCAGCATGCTGACTGGCCTGGCCAGGCAGTTACCCTTCAGTACTCAAACGTGGCAAGGGGAAATCGTCTAGCAACGGAGTTTTTAGTGAGAAAATCATCTACAAAAATGATGAACATCAACGGTGGAATTTATTCCAATCAAACTTGTATTGAGCTGTTGGTTTGTAGGCCAAGCTTGGCTGAAAAGTCCATTGCGAAAGATCCAATGAGACACCTCCAATTGTGATGCGTCCGATTGGGCTCGGAAACGATCCTGAAAAATCAAGGTTTATACCACGAATAGTAGTCAAATCTAATCAAATCCATTGCGAAATAAATGAATCTTGCGGATTTGCCGCCTCACTTCCTAGTGCAGAGGGTACGGAAGCTACTTCACTCCCAAAGGATTAGATACCCACAGATTTTTGAGTGCATCCATTAAACCCCAGTCCCGGCGGCATCCATGGCATCCATGGCCTGAGGCATTGATTCCTCCAGCAAACCCTCCGTGCGAACGGATCATTCCTGCGTGGTCTTTGAGGTGGGACGGGTTGACTCATTGACCCAATGCGAACGCTGCTGTAACGGATGTGTTGGGTGGCAGATCAACCTTTGGATGCCAAACATATGTATATATATATATATACGCATATGTATATATATATACAATATTATATATATATATGAATTCACAGCGATAGCATGCCATGGCACGAGACCTTCTCAGCGGCCCAAAAATATATAGATATATACATAAATGGATGGATCTTTCTCTGATTCTTTCTACTGAACGTCGGGTGATTCTTTTTGAGACTTCCGGATCGAGGCAGCAGTGCGATGATCCCAATCTATCCCAATGAACAGTGGATACAGTGGGCAAAGCTATCAGAATAATAAGGAGACCATAGGAAAACCATAGGAAACCATAGGAAAATGGTGATTTAATGAGGCTTTACGGTGGTTTAATGGATTTTAATGGGATTTACCCTCTGGTAAACTAACATAGCTATGGAAAATCACCATGTTCAATGGGAAAATCCACTATAAATAGCCATTTTCAATAGCTATTTTGACATAACCAGAGGGTAAGAAAACTCCATTTCTTTATTCGTTTAGAACAAATCTTGGAATCTTGGTCCCCATTTTGCTTGGTGAACTCAGTGACCTCGGCAACACGGCAACATGGCGGTGATGGATGTGATGGGTCACCCGGGTCGCACGGCAGGCAAACCTCTACATCTTTGGGGGTTTTGATGGCCGGACACGATTTCAGGACCGGTGGGGTGCTGGGGAAGTGCGCAATTCTTGTTACTCTCGTAATGTCAAGGAAATTGCAATGAGAAGATGAGACGGTTCTACAATGTTGAAACATGTTTCAATGCCCACGAAACATGTTTCAATCGCTGCAAGTTGACGAATATCGACAGTCCTGGATGCTTGGATGCTGGAATGAGTAGTGACCCCGGAATGGAATCTGGGGCCTGGGATTCAATCCACTTATGGCGCCAGAACGAAGAATAGCATCTTGATGTGATCCTCTATCATTGACCCACACATTTGTGAGCATCCCCCATTTTCAGCATGCTTTTTGACGCTGAACCTCAGATAGTTGTAATATCCCTGTGTTTGACCCATCAGTGTCGGTAAAAAACACTATTCCGCAGGTGATGGACACGTACGTACACATGCGCGCACACACACACATACACACATATTGTATTGTATTATATATATATATATGTATGTACTTATACATATGTATATATGCATATGGTCGGGTATTTTCGCCGTTTGGTCGGGCATTTTCGCCGCTGAAAAACGGGTTTGGCATCAATATATCAGAAGAAACTCTGGTCTGCCCAAAAAGGTCTTTCTTATGCAAAACCTATTTATTGGGCAAAAGGCAGAATTTAAGCACCTTTTGAAGAGGCAGGTATGTATCTGTATCTGTATCTGTATATGTAAATGTGTGTATATATATACATGTATATGTATTTGTATATATGTATATATGTCTATGTATATATATGTCCTTGTATATATGTCTATGTATATATATATGTCTATGTATATATGTCTATGTTTATGTCTATGTATATGTATGTGTATATGTATATGTATGTGTATGTATATGTATGTGTATGTGTATGTGTATATGTATATGTGTATATGTATATGTGTATATATATATGCACATACACATAAGCATTCACATCTACGCCCATGGTTGGCAGATGGCTTCTTTCGTCAGTGATAGCCCAATGAAAAACCATCAGTTACCACAGGACCTTCATCTCTTCAACACGGAGGAGAGGGAATGGATGCAGGTGGCTTTTTTCCCGATGCGCCGGATGTGGGTTCCGTTCGGAAGCAGATGGCCTCTGTGACTGGTGGCTTCTTAGGTAAAAAAAAAGCCACATCTCTATGCGTCAAAATGAGATGATGATCTCAATTCGAACATATAGTTGAGATGTGTTGAAGCCTCCAATCAGATTCCTTATTGATGTATGTACGTATATGATCTATGTAATATATATATTTCCTATGTTTCTAGCTGCTGATAATGGACTTCGCGGACTCTTTCTGTAGTTTTCCAACAATTCTGACATGTTGGAGGAGTCTGAAAACCTCCAGTAATCATTGCCATGGCTAGCTGGGAACTCCCCCACTAAAATGTAGGTTTTCCTGGGAAAATCATCCAAAAAATGGGGATTATTAGTATACCCTCTGGTTATGACTAACAGTTTGCCATGGTATAGATGGCACATAGAAATAGATGGTTTACCTATTAGAAATGGTGATTTTCCATGGCTATGTTATATAACCAGAGGGTAATTTCTGAGTTCGATTCCACAAAAACTTGATCTCATGACAATCTGGATCGCCGGTGAAGCTGCGGTCGCCATTTTTGCAGTGGTTCTTCGACAACAGGGTCTTTGCAACTAAGTTCTGATGCCCATTTGACTTTTGATATGTCTGTTTGATTCTCTGTGACAACCAAACATTTTGGAACGGTGTGACTATCCTACTACGACCATGATGGTATGCTGGTACGGTCCACCCGGCGTCGTCGCTGAAACGCCCAAAAACGGCGGCGCCCACGAGGTGACGGAAACGGACAATGTCCCGGTGGGCCGCTTCGGACACTCTGCGGTGGTCTACCAGTCTGGTATGTGGGGCAACCCAAGTGGGTACCAATTTTGGTCAGATATAGACAGCTGGAACACATTAGGAACATATTTTTTGGGTAACTAAACCAACTTGTCCAGTTTTTTTCTTCTGGGGCTGAGGTTATTAAGAAGCCAGTGGTGTGTTGATAGAGAGGGGCATTTTTGATAGCTAACTCGGGTCCCGTGGTGAATTCCCATTAGCGCCCCGCTTACGAAGGTGAGACACATGTGACGCAGGGTCTTCTTGGTATTTTCTGAAGGGAGAACTCTGGCCATGCTTACATATGCTTACCATTGAAGCCCTGAACACCCAAAAATGTCCAGTCGAAAGTGCAGTTTCAAAGCTAAAAATCATGCAGTTCACCCAGATTTCATAGATTTTCCACTCACTTTTTCCATGTATGGTCATTATGGTCATTGGAATCATTGCTAGACATATTTCACCATTATTTGACCCTGATTTCACCAGTGTATGTCACCTTATTTATCCCCTTCCCCTTCGTAATTTTTTTTCAAGACCCAGAAAGCATGGTGGATGTAATGTTTAGATATGTTTTCCGTAGATTTTTCACATGACATCCACCATGAGGTAAACCCAATCAATCCACCATCCAAAATTTGGGGATTTTTCAGACAGCCGGGGATCTGCCGTGGCCGATCTGGCGACAGCGCCAGGTTTGTCTTTGGAGGTTGGGATGGACACGATACCTTGGATGATCTCTATGAGTTCTCCATCACCACCAGCCAGTGGTACCGAGAAACCACCACGACTTTCTGGGATGGGATGGGATGGGAAAGTGGGTTGGGTTCATGTTGGTTAATGTGAAAAACGCACTGAACAATTTCCCATGGAAACTTGGGATATGGTTTCTAAGATGGTTTCATCCCAAATTTTGGATGGTGTGAGTTGGGTTTACCGCAGTGATGAGCAGAATGGAAGGGTGTTCAAGTGGCAAAGCTGGCAAAGCTGCAGCCCCAGCAAGGTGATCAACGGTAGAAGTAAGTAGGATCTGCCGGTCCATCTCTGCCATACATACACATCACCTTTTTTTGGGGGCGGTGTAACCTCAATCTACCAGCAAAAAGTCACATTTTTCGCCGCCAAAATGATCAAAGGCTCCCAACAATCATGTCTTATCATCCCTCCAACTAATAGACCCTACTCGTACCAAATAAGGGCTTGGACGACTACTTTCCCCTTGGGATGTGTGATTCCCAGGGTTGGTCAGGTACAACGTTCCGGGACGCGGAGACGTTCCACCGTCCCTTGGTTGCGTACCTGGCTTGGGGATGATGAACTAGCCATTACCATTACCCTCTGGTAATTTAACATAGCTATTGAAAATGGCCATTTATAGAGGATTTTCCCATTAAAAATGGTGATTTTCCATAGTTACGTAAACGTTTACCAGGCCGGGTAAGCCATAGGGGTTTCCCTATCAACTAGTACAATGAGATGGGATGCCCCAGAATCACGGCCCCTTTAATTTACATTGAAACATGATCTATTTTGGATGAAAAAAAAAGGGGTCCCAGATCTGGGTAGAATGAGTCAATCCATGTCAATCCCCCCCATTTTTGATCACTCTCTGCTTGTGACTCGTACAATGAAGGGACCTCCAAAGAGAGCAGCTACTTGAGCTATCTGGAACTATCGGGACTAACAACGGACTTTTCCAGCTCGCAAACCTTCAATGTGAAAATACGAAGTGTGCAAGCATTGATTTTCATAGACTTTTCCAGCTCGTTTGGATCTATTTGGCCGATTGCTCCCAAGTCTATTCCGGTCAATCTTCGGTAGATTGACACATAGATATGAGTAACCGACAAAATTAGCGGAAGACTAAAGTAGTGGGGAGTGGACATGGGATGTTCAAATTTGTTCAAAAACATTCACAACCGATAGGGGACCACCCACTTACAGATACCCTATTTTGACACATAGCATGGAAATATAAACCTTCACACGCGATAGGGGACCCACTTTGGCCATGTCCATTGCGGGTAGAAAGTAATTTTGTCCGCCACTCATATGAACAAAACCATCATTTGTAGATCATTTGTAGATCATTTGTAGATCATTTTATTCCTTAAAGAACCCTGGTGTGTTTTCCAGCACTCTGAAGGCAATTTTCCCAACATCCAGGATGGTGGTGTGTCTACCTGCCTAGACTCTCGCCTCGCCTGGCAGGTCAAGATACCGCCACAGTGCGGTGGTGCATGGCTGTGCCATGTTTGTCTTTGGGGGTGTAGACAAGCGTCAGGCGCGGTGAATGGCGTGGTGATTATATGGGGAACTAAAGGTCCTTGGATATGGCATGGCCCATTCCGGATGAAGGCTTTTAGATCAACAACCATATGTCATATGAATGTTTCTATAATATATAATAATATATACAGTACACACACATATATATATATATAATATAATATACACACATGTACATACATACATACCTACCTACATACCTACATACCTACATACCTACATACCTACGTGCCTACATACCTACGTACCTACATACATACATACGTACGTACATACATGCATGCATACATGCATGCATGCATACATTACATTAGATTACATTACAATACAAGACAAGACAAGACAATACCATACCATACCATACCATACAATACACTACAATACCATGCATGCATGCATGCATGCATGCATGCATCCATCCATCCATCCATACATACATCCATCCATCCATCCATCCATCCATCCATACATCCATCCATCCATCCATCCATCCATCCATCCATCCATCCATCCATACATACATACATACATACGTTTGTGTGCAAACGTAATTTTCTTGAACGAGTCAAAACGAGAGCCATAGAGCCAAGAGGAGGACTTTTCCAGAAGGCTGGGATGAAGGTTAGCTGAAGATGCTCTCATGATCATTTGAGGGTGTACCATGTAGCAGATGATATCACTTTTTGGAGGTCACCCGGAACCCCTGAATTTCATCAAACCAGGGTTTGACTAAATCCCGGGCATTATTGATCATCATCGGTTTTCGAGTTTGGCTACGAGGCAGTTGACCTGGGGTGATCCGGCTGGTGAATAGTTGGAAATTGTGGTGAACTATCCCATAACTCAGTCGAGTACCGAAGAATCATTCCTTAAATTCATATTTTCACTGGGGAAAAACCCATCTAAACTCTAGTTACTGTAGTTGTTGAGTTGTTATCATCCCCAAAAAAAAAGATCATCGCGCATCGCGCATCCCACAAGGGTCCCGTCCAAAGGGCTCCATGGCTCCACCGGAATCGAATCGAGGCGAGATTCTCGGATCTCTGTGAGTTCAGCTTTGACAACCGGTCCCTGGGACAGCCCTGGGAGAATGTCCCTTCAATAAGGGGCCCATAGCTGGGGTCCAGGAATCTTGAGTTAATAATGGTATAGCTGATGTTGTTAATAATGGTATAGCATTGATCATCGGTTTTCGAGTTTGTTAACATAAGGGTTTTTCAGCATAGCTGGTCACTGGTTAAAGGCACTGGGTTTTTGCAGGCTGGGTTGATGCTGTGGTTTTGGACACCCAGACGGTGGTGAAACACCCATCTCCACTGCGACAGCTGAAGATTATTGGGATATAAAATTGAGTTCTCGGGATGCTTAGAAATAAACGACAACATGTGGGTTTTTATATGTTTTTATCCCATGTTTGAGCCATCCCGAGTTATTCAATGAGTCGTGATACGGGTCACCCTGGTATCTGTTCCCAAAAAGAACTGGGATCTATCATGGGTCATTAAATGTCCCCATTGAACATCACCCAACCATTAGGTATATGGTCTATAATGGCTACTATAAGGTGATGTCCAATATTCCCAAAATGGGACAGTTACCAACCCCTGTCTATGGAGATTCATTCCATTGTGGGTCACATTGGCTTGGCATGGCTTGAGGTCATGGTCTCGGGTCAAGACAGTCTGGTAGCTCAGGAGAAGCTTACTGACTTACTGTGGGTGTCGAAAATGGGGTTCACCGACCATGGGGATACCATTGATATCATGGGGATATCACGGGAGAGCCCAACATCTGATATTTGAGTTTGTCCAACAGTGGAGGTTGCCTCAAATTTTCACCAGGTCATGATGAACAATGCTGAGACTACTAGCATTCTTTGCGGTTTTTCCCATAGTTATCGGGTCGTTTTTTGGCAAGACTATCAAATCTCAGCGACAGCCTTGCGGTAGATTCCGGTAGTAATGTTGGGTGGGTCAGAGTATCTGGAATTCAACAGTCATGTGGTGAAGCTGAAGCCATTTGACTTGACTTAAGCCCTCAACATCTTTACAGATTGGGCTGGGATCCATGAAAAGTTTGTCAAAATCCTCAAGATTTGGACTGAAAACTGGGATCTAAGAGTAGTCTAGTCGTATCTCAGGCTGTTTGGGGAATCATTGAGATGGATGGTCGCCCACATCGAGTAGGGAATGTATTTATTGAGCACGTTCCAGCCGCATCATCCCATTCCGGAGGGGTTGTACCGCTAGCGCCATTTTTTGAGGTGGTGATGTGTCACATCTTTTCGGAGTGGTTTAACCACTGTTTCACCATGATCTTGGATTATTTTAGAATATTGCTGGTTTCTCCAACAGACTTTCTAACCATGAGTTTGTCTGAAAACTTGCGGGATACCTCCAAATCCTATGTTTGTTCCATCATTTTCCCGATCAAACCATATCAACATGGCCTTTGATCTTTTTTTGTAACTCACCCGTTTTTGGACAAACCCCAGTCTCATATGGATAGCCATCTCGCCGAGACTGGTGACCCACCATCGGCCAGAACCTTCCATCGAGCTTGCATGCGCCTGGGTGAAAGGGAGTTGGTCTTAACCATATTTATATAATTATATGATATATATAACCATGAAACATTGGAATTTGATGGAATGTTAATGGGCATACCATGGAACATGTAACTATATAACCAACATTAACCAACTATCATCAGAACTTGGGTAAATTTGACATTTTATGTTTGGTGAGTTGGTTCATGTGAGGGGGAATCCATCGGATTTCATGGGGAACGACTCGTAGCGACGTTTCGGTGCCGTTTTTGATTTTAAGGTAGAGGTGCCATGTTTTGAATGATCGAGTGCTTGGAAGATGCTGAAGAACTTTTGAGTGTCCGTTTTTTTTCATAGTTCCCAGAAGATGGTCTCTAGATTGTTGCCGGGTTGTCTTCTCCTGTTCTTCCTCTCGTCTTTCTCGTCTTCTGCGTCCCCGTTGTCACGTCCGGCATAACAAACTTTTGAGCGTTCGAACAGTTTTTTTTTTGGGGGTACTGTTGCCAGGTCACGGTCCCCAGATTTTTTCAGGGTTGTCTTTTCGTTGTCCTTCTCCTTCTCCCTCTCCTTCCCCTTCTCCTCATCGTAGTCTCGCGACGGCAGTGCGGGAAGCAAGTATGTCAGGGCGGGGATCACCCGAAGGAAGTAATCGCAGTCAATCATGTCCATATCGAGCGCTGAGTTCAATCCCGAGGGAGGAATTTAAACCACGAGGAAGTTTTTGGACCGCTTAAGGGAGACGAGCTTTGAAATAGAGTAATTGCCAAGTATATATCGGATATACATGGATATTGACTGATATACACATGGGGATGGTCATCAATCCGCTGACAGGGATGTGGATTTAGGATGTGTACTTATATAAACCATTAAAAGGATTGGCGTGGAAGGGATGACCCCCAGAATGGCGGGGATCTACTGATCTATCCCAATTTATAGCTGGGATCTACGGCTCTGTTTTTGGATGGGGAAAAAAAAAGGATCGGTCAGAATCAAAAATAAAAAAAATTGGGTTGCCCAGTGTTCAAAGCCATGTAGATCGCCGCACCAATAGTTTTCACTGCCAAGATTCGACGATTCGACGCTGGTAGCTTCGGACTTGCTGAGAAGCTGGCCGAAAATTGGGGCATATACCGCCCCAAATCCCAAGGTCGGTCGAACTCAGGTTCCACTTTTGTCAATTTTGTCAATGGCCAGAAATTTTCGGAAGATGACAGAGCCATAGCCTACTTGGGCCTACTTCAGGTATGGAAGCTGCATGTACATCCTCGGTGGGGCTGAGGGACTCAGGGGACTCAGGGGACTCGGTACCTTGTTGTTGAATCACTAGGAGATCATGGAGAGTTCATGTAGAAACTGAACCACTTTTGAAAGGTTCTAGATACTTGTTCTTCTTAATTGTATATCAAATTGGTATCTATTTATTCATGGATGTTCTTGTGGATTGTGTTGTCACTACTAATTATTAATCAATGACCCATACCATCCGAAATTATTCCGATGTGGATGTTACATCTAGGAATAATTTTCCAGAATAATTTCCTTGGGAATAATTTTTAGGCACTATGGGCAAAGTGTAGGTGGCAAGACATTGGAATAATTTTGGTTAGAAGAAACAACACGATGTGGATAGACATTGGAATAATTTTGGTTAACAATGTGGATAGACATTGGAATAATTTTGGTTAAAAGAAACAACAGGATGTGGATAGACATTGGAATAATTTTGATATGTAGCCTTTCAAAATGCATGAAATTATGTGTTATAACATATCATCAAACGGTTCAAATGTTGGAACGAACTATATAGGTTTAATCTGTGATGTACCTTGCATAACCTGTAAATAACTAAATCTTCTTTTTCTAGCTTGACCAAGAAAGATCGAGAAACTTTAAAACCTAATTTAACAAGTGACCTGAGGAACCGTTTCTTGACGCCAAGAAACCAATCTCAAGGTCACTTGTAAAAATTGGGTTTGAAAATTTGAAATCCTCTTGACTTTTGCTGGCAAAATGACTGAAGTCGTTTTGAGGGAATTTGCATGAGTAATAAAGTGAAAATGCATTGATCACCAACCTTCTTCCCCCAAAATTCTATTTCCGAAACCACCCGTATCCTCACCTGCACGCGTGTAAATATATTCTTGCTGTCAACATATGTTTGGCACCCCTGTTGTATATAGGTTTAACCTGTAACTTAGATAGCTTGTGACTAGCCACATATTTTTCTGGGCCCAAGGAATGTCAAGGAATACAGGATGTTGTGTTGATGTATTGTCAATGATTTTCAATTCAACATGCAGTGATCCTCAGCCCTTTCCCACCAATATTCTACCTCCGAAACCACCCGCATCCTCCACCTGCGGGCGTCAAGATTACTCCTGGTGTCAACATACCTCTAGGACCCGTGCTTTATAGAGGTGTAGCCTGTAAAGTAGCTTGCGCAGTCTGTACACAGCATTTGTGTATTTCTGGCCTCAAGGAATATCAAGCAATCAAAGAGATCATTCTGATGTATTTTGAGCTTCAGTTGTGAATGCAATTAATGATCACCAACCCTCTTCCACCAATTCATATCCGACAGCGCCCGCATCCTCCAACTGCGGGCGTCGAAATATATTCCTGGTGTCAACGCATGTCTGGCACCCCTGTTTTGTATAAGTTTAACCTGTAGCTTACATAGGACTAGCTACGGCTTCTTTTTTTGAAGTCAAGGAATGAAGGATGTTGTTCTGATGCGTTTTGAATGAATTTCAAGTCAACTTACAATGATCATAAGCCCTCTTCCACCAATATTCTACCTCCGAAACCACCCGCGTCCTCCACCTGCACGCGTCAAAATTATTCCTTGTGTCAGGACATGTCTGGCACCCCTGTTTGTTTAGGCTTGAATACGCCCTGCAACTCTTTCCAGAATCAGAGGTACCAAGGTGCATCAAAGAAGGTTAAACGATGTTAAACACACGTCTCGAAACTTTTCTGCACATCCTGTAAGCCAGAAAAATGGAGGGGCTTTAGCTAGTTACAGACAGAGCAGGCCACTTTGCAGGTTAAACCTCTACAGCACAGGGGTGCCAGACATGTGTTGACACCAGGAATAATTTTGACGCGTGCAGGTGGAGAAGGATGCTGGTGGTTCCGGAAGTAGAATATTGATGCCTTTGCAGGTTAACCCTCTACAAAATACGGGTGGCAGACATGTGTTGACACCAGGAATAATTTAGATGCGTGCAGGTGGAGGATGCTGATGGTTTTTGGAGATCGAATATTGGTGGACAAGGGTTGGAGATCAATTCATTTTTATTTCATAACTCGTTCAAACTTATGGAAAAGCATCTTACATTACTTTCCCTGTTGAATTCTGCATCAAAGAAGGTTAAACGATGTTAAACACACGTCTCGATACCTTTCTGCACATACTGTAAGCAAGAAAAAAGGATGGTCTTTAGCTAGTTACAGACAGAGCAGGCCACTTTGCAGGTTAAACCTCTACAGCACAGGGGTGCCAGACATGTGTTGACACCAGGAATAATTTTGACGCGTGCAGGTGGAGGAGGATGCTGGTGGTTTCGGAAGTAGAATATTGATGCCTTTGCAGGTTAACCCTCTACAACATACGGGTGGCAGACATGTGTTGACACCAGGAATAATTTAGATGCGTGCAGGTGGAGGATGCTGATGGTTTTTGGAGATCGAATATTGGTGGAAAAGGGTTGGAGATTAATTTATTTTTATTTCATAATTCGTTCAAATTTATGGAAAAACATCTTACATTACTTTCCCTGTTGAATTCTGCATCAAAGAAGGTTAAACGATGTTAAACACACGTCTCGATACCTTTCTGCACATACTGTAAGCAAGAAAAAAGGATGGTCTTTAGCTAGTTACAGACAGAGCAGGCCACTTTGCAGGTTAAACCTCTACAGCACAGGGGTGCCAGACATGTGTTGACACCAGGAATAATTTTGACGCGTGCAGGTGGAGGAGGATGCTGGTGGTTTCGGAAGTAGAATATTGATGCCTTTGCAGGTTAACCCTCTACAAAATACGGGTGGCAGACATGTGTTGACACCAGGAATAATTTAGATGCGTGCAGGTGGAGGATGCTGATGGTTTTGGAGATCGAATATTGGTGGAAAAGGGTTGGAGATCAATTCATTTTTATTTCATAACTCGTTCAAACTTATGGAAAAGCATCTTACATTACTTTCCCTGTTGAATTCTGCATCAAAGAAGGTTAAACGATGTTAAACACACATCTCGAAACTTTTCTGCACATCCTGTAAGCCAGAAAAATGGAGGGGCTTTAGTCTTTAGCTAGTTACAGACAGAGCAGGCCACTTTGCAGGTTAAACCTCTACAGCACAGGGGTGCCAGACATGTGTTGACACCAGGAATAATTTTGACGCGTGCAGGGGGAGGAGGATGCTGGTGGTTTCGGAAGTAGAATATTGATGGAAAAGGCTTGATGATCAGCCCATTTTCAGCTCATTGCTCTTTGCCATGTGTGGAAAAGCATCTTGCATTACTTTCCCTGTGGGCTTCTGCATTCAACAATGTTGGATGCATAGCTCGAGACCTTTCTGCAGATCTTTTCGGCGGTAGATTCTGGGTGGAAGAGGGCTGATGATCATTGCATTGTCGTTTGAAAATCGGTGAAAAAACGTGAGCAAACATCTTGGGCTGTTGAATTCCGCATTAAACAGTGTTAAGCAATGTTAAACACATGGCTCGAGACCTTTTTGATCCTTTTTGCACATCCTTGAAACCAGGCAGAGAGGGCTTGAGCAATTTACAAACTGCGCAAGCGACTCTACAGGCTACACCTCTGTAAAGCACGGGTCCTAGAGGTATGTTGACACCAGGAGTAATCTTGACACCCGCAGGTGGAGGATGCGGGTGGTTTCGGAGGTAGAATATTGGTGGGAAAGGGCTGAGGACCACTGCATGTTGAATTGAAAATCATTGACAATACATCAACACAACATCCTGTATTCCTTGACATTCCTTGAGCCCAGAAAAATATGTGGCTAGTCACAAGCTATCTAAGTTACAGGTTAAACCTATATACAACAGGGGTGCCAAACATATGTTGACAGCAAGAATATATTTACACGCGTGCAGGTGAGGATACGGGTGGTTTCGGAGATAGAATTTTGGGGGAAGAAGGTTGGTGATCAATGCATTTTCGCTTTCTTACTCATGCAAAATCCCTCAAAACGACTTCCGTCATTTTGCCAGCAAAAGTCAAGAGGATTTCAAATTTTCAAACCCAATTTTTACAAGTGACCTTGAGATTGGTTTCTTGGCGTCAAGAAACGGTTCCTCAGGTCACTTGTTAAATTAGGTTTTAAAGTTTCTCGATCTTTCTTGGTCAAACTAGAAATAGAAGCTGTATGATTGTACAAGATACATCACGGGTTCAAGATGCAAAAGACAAGATGCCGTTCAGAAATTCGCAATAGGACAAAAATGACGCGAGAACGAGTGGGACACCAGGTGGCCTAACAATTAGATACAACCTTTGGAACCGGTTCAGATTTTTTTCGCGAAACGGAGCCTGAGACTGCGACAAGCATTTTGCATTCCAACTGATCACACAAGATTCGAATGTTTAGATGGTTTTTGGGTCGAATGTTGACATGGTTTTTGGGTCATACTTGAACAAACCTGGAGATGAAATCTGCATTTAAAAAAAACAAATTATTCTGGATGTGGATCACCTCAGAATAATAATGGCTCCAGTGTAAGTCATAGACACTGGGATAATAAACAAATTATTCCAGTGTGACACCCACATGTCCACACCAGAAGGCATGGTCCATATTAATCATTTAAAATGCCGACAAGGATGACAAGTAGGCAACAACTGCGGAAGCGGGGTCAGTCATCGTACGCAGGAGTGGTAAGTGTCGTTGGTCCTTTAAAGAACAGTCCCCATGACAGATTGGGATCTATCCCAGTCATTAAGTTGCTAGATCTCATATTGTTAGACATTTAAGCTGGTTATAATTACCCCAGACAAATGGGATCTACCCCATTTCTTGGTGATCCATCACTGTGGTTCCAGACTTCAATTTAAAGAGGCCAGCCGTTTGAAACCATGGGTTTCTACAAAGCCCAATCCCCAGGTTGCTTTGTGAAATGCCCATGAAAAATCACTAACATCTCATAAACTCACCATTAAAATCACCATTCTTCATCATTGTTGATGCTTAGAACCCCATGACACATCGGGGTCACAGTTTGATCCATCATAAATCGCTGAGTTCGATGGCACCCGACGCAACGACATGTACAAGATCGCCAGGGGGCCTGGAAGTACCCCAAAGATACCCCATGGTTTTAATTTGATGGAACATCATAGGATTTTTAAGAACAGGATTATATGATGAATGTGACATATATATATAAGGATGGCTTTAAATATGTTAGGATGGTTATAATACAATAAATATATAAATATACATAATATAATATGATAGGATGGTTTTAAATCATGGTCGTTTTGATATTTTTTTTTGGGGGTGGAGGAACAGCCGAATGGGCTAATCATAGGATGGCGCTCGCTGGTTTTAAGCCTCGAACTCAATGGGATGATTTAGGATTTTCCAGCCAGCGATTAGGGAGCCCCTCACGCAAAATGGGCAGCGAGCAACCAGCAACCATGGTGATTCTAATGGGATGTCAACCAAACACTTTCATGCTCCGGATGTGTTTTTTCTTTCATGGTCTAAGTTCGATCTGATTTTTTTGTACTGTTCATGGGATACAAAGTGGATATCAGCCCAAAAATATACGAGTTGTTTTCCAGCAATGGTTTTTTTTGCTGTGACCCAACCAAACAAAAACTTCTGGATTAAATTGATGAAATATAAAAAATCATGACCATTCTTAGGAATTGGGGGTACCCTCTGGTAAACTAACAGTTTGCTATTGAAAATGGCCCAGTCGAAATAGTGGATTTTCCCAGCTATAAAATGGTGGATCTTTCCAGTTCGCTATGTAAACGTTTACCAGGCCGGGTAAATCCCATTAAAATCCCATTAAAACACCATAAAACCTCATTAAATCACCATTTTCCTATGGTTTTCCTATGGTTTTTGCAGACATGGCATTTTGCGACTCCATGGGTCCATCCAAGGCAGTCCCAGAGCAACTCCCACGTGATGAGAAACGAAGGCACCCTCGACCATGGATATAGCGGGTATAGCGGGTATACCATTTGGTGATTCAACAGATTTCAACAGTTTGCCATGGAAAATCCCGAAAATCACTGGAGGTTTAGTTCGGGGAAATCATCTATTTCTGGCCATGGCTTCCATGGCTATGTTAAATAACCAGAGTATATGCCTTTCGATGAACCTACCGCGTAGAATGATGATATATTTTATATTGTCAGTATTACCTCTAGAATCATAGAATATGTGCATCCATCATACAAACATGTAACTACACACAGTCACATACCCATTGCACTTCTACGGTACACCAGATACACGTATAGATGCACACATGGTTTGCCCATTGTGCATGCGATTTCATCCGTGAAACACCAAATGTATTCATCTATTCGTATAATTTATACGATATTACATGTGAGTTAGATAATGTATATGGATGCATCATTATATTCCACACATAGTATATATATATACATGTTACATATATACATGCATACATATACATACATACATATACATACATACAGTACATACATATTTGGTTTTTGTTCATGAAAACATTGAAATGGAGCATGAAACATCCCTGGACCCTGGAGCATGAACATGGATTATACATATTTATTAAATTTTATAAAACCATTATATACCCATTCAGGTCAGTTAACCCAATTGGATATGTGATAACCTATGCGTAACTATTCTGTATGTCTATATATACATATGTAAATATCATTACGGCAATTTATCGACTCAAGTAGATATAATGTGGTAACCTCAACAATAAACCATCCCCAATATTATAATCAATGGATTCTAAACTCTAAACATCATCCCTAAATGGTAGGTTTACTATTGGGTATGACCGATATCACTGGAATGATGGCTATTTCCTGTAGTGAATTCTTGTAATTTATCCAGATTCACCATTTGTTGGTTCTGCTGCCATCAACTTCCCATTATATCCCCATTAAATTCTCATAATTCCTCCACTATTGTTATTCCAATATTACAATATACAATTATCCCATTGACTATTGTTACAATAATGATCTATAACACCAATGCAAATAGGTATAACGACCGTGAGTGGGATCAAGATTTATAATCCCAGTCATATTTCATTTTATCTGTATATATATATATATACATAATTATACATGTAAACGATTACAACTATTATATATACAGCAATTACGTACATGTCCACAAATATATATATGTATAATACAGTAATAGTAGTAATAATCGTACTAATAAACATAACCATGATGATGATGATGATGATGATGATGATGATGATGATGATGATACCCTCTGGTAAACGTTTACAGAAAACTATGGAAAATCACCATCTTTAATAGGTAAATCACCTATTCCAGGCGTCGCATGGCCCTGGGCTCCGGCGACGGCGACGCGGAGGCACAGGCGGAACCCGACATTGGCGAGGTGGCGGAAGGCGCGAAACCGGCCCGGCGGATGGGGCGGGCTGGGACAGGGGTAACCTGGGGAGATAAACCAACGATTTCATGGGGATTTCATGGGGATTTGGGGGTTTTTCATGGGAAACAAAAACCCTACTTGGTGTATTTGTTGTGACTTTTTAAGGAGATATTTCTGGGATTCTAAGCCAAGCCCCAGAAGTAGGGATATCACCTCCTGCAACTACGGTTCTATCCGCTTAGTTCACCGGAACTGAACCTCCAAGTGGCAGGAAAATCTACGAGAATATGGAGAGTTGTGATAGACACTGAGCAAACTCTCAGGAAAACTTCTATTAGAAGAACGTATGGGCGATTCTTCAGTGGTTTTTGTGACTTGCGAGACCAAAAACAAGCACAACTTGTGATATTTCTTGAATGTAAGACACCAATTTTTAGGATCTGAATATTGCTTGCAGGACCACATGAGAACAAAGAGATCGTCAGGCTACGCTTGCAGGCCGCTTGTCCTGAGAATGATCGGGAATTGGATGTGCCCCACCAACATGACCAGAAACTGATTGAATTGAAGGGTCGCCCATTTGCGATCTGTGTTTAAGCCGCACCATCTTCTCCAGCCAAATGTGGTACAATGTTTTCAGCCATTTGGTTCCGGTACATCTGACTCTTCATGTCATGGAAACTACCCCTTTCTGAGGTGCTGGAATTACAGAAGCGCCTCGAGAGCGAGCAAGAACGTGGGGAATCCCCTCCGGAGCTGGCGGGTGAAATCCTTGGGTTGGGTACTCCACATCAATCAAGACATATCAAGACTGAAATGGATGGTTAAACGGTTAAACTTCAACAAAGTGAGGATGAAACTCCTTAGATTGGTGATGTGCCCAACCACCATGGTAATATTGACAAAACTTTGATTCTTCACTAGTGAAATAGACAAGCATTCCCATACCCAAGCGGGGATGCTGGGGAAAACAACGACCTCGGGGTGAAGAACATGTAGTGCTTATGGTAGGAGGCCCATTTCTGGTATTTTCTCGAGTTATTGCAGTTGCAGTGGCTGAAAATTGATGAAAATGGGGTAAACCCCCTAAAAAATCCCCTCACTGAAATGTCATTTTCATGATATTTCATAATTCATCAATGGATTTAGGGGTTTTCCCATGGGTTTTCCATGGTTTGCCCATACATTTTCAGACAAACCCAAACCTTGCAGAAAGCTTAGGAATTTATCAAGCCATAAGATGTGACTTCCGTGCTACGGCTCTGGATGCCCTGAAAAGAGAACTTCGCCCGGCGTGACGAAACCGACTAAAGCCCCAGTTGGCCCAGCTGGGCTCGACTCAAGAGTCATACAAGGTGGTGCCCCATAGTTAGCTAAGTTGGTGAACATAACTCCAATTAAACCTATGGTTTATGGTAGATATAACTATAGCTACTGGGGCGAATCTAAACCAACTTATAACTGGGGGGCCTCACATTGTAGGGGTACTACTCCGGTAGTCATCATGTCGCGTCGCGAGTAGGTCACCTGTGCAAGATTTGCTTCGAACGTGAGATCAACACAGTGACCGGCCTCAGAAAACACATTCACTTTACTCTCCGGGAATCAAACATGGCTTGCTGGAAAAGATTTTCCCTGCTGTTAACCTCCATTGAGTTCGGATATTTTCCTGCTCGCCACATTTGACCAGAGGATACACAGCAGGTGTCGTTCTGATGGTCTTCTCAAGAGGGGGAGTAGCCTGATAGCCTGGAATTCCAGAGCTGTTCCAACCTCAGGGCATATCCAATTTTGAAACCCTCATCAGTAGCCAACCCCAGGGATCTATATCTAGAAATATATTATAAAATGGGCTAGCGCCCGGGTGCCGCCGACCCCTCCTTCTTTGGGACACAACGCTACCTCAGGGTTTTGCTTTGATATGTTTTCGATTCTTTTTTATGTTAGGTCTATTAGAGGTGGTCATGCTTAATGTGGGGTCAAAGTGCCATGGGTGATGTGCATGCAATACGCGATCGATGGTTCAAAGCAACATTGGGACACAGCAGCTCTTTACATGTTTGTGCCTAACTACGATCTTTCCCAGTGCGTTTTATTGCGTTTGAGATTGGATTTTGGTTCTCCATTACCTCTCATTGATTAGCAATGTGAATTGAATGCATGGTTGGGTGGGCTTGTTGGTGAAAGGGACCTTGAAAGTTTTAACATGGCATCCACTCTACGAACCTTTCCTGGATTTGACATTTCGCTACGGTTTCACCATTCTGTGTGGCCTTGGGGTGCCTGTTGGCTGCAGGATGAAGCATGCCAAGGGAATGTTTAAGCGATGTGGCCTTGGGGCAGCGCTATTGCCTGCACGGTTCGGCGTTCCGAGCAGCTTTTGCACAGTTTGCAGGGTTTAACGGGTTTTAAGGGTAAGCGTTTGAGGCCTGGCAAATGGCAGGCTTGGACCCCCATTACGGGTTGTAAGGGCTTTAAGAGTTTTGAGGGTTTTTAAGCGTTTTAAGGGTTTTGAGGGTTTTTAAGCGTTTTAAGGGTTTTGAGGGTTTTTAAGCGTTTTAAGGGTTTAAGGGCTGGCAAACGGCAGGCCTTGGGGTGCAGGATGAAGCATGGCAAGGGAATGTTTAAGCGATGGCGGTTTTTAAGCGTTTTAAGCGTTTAAGGGCTGGCAAACGGCAGGCTTGGACGCCCATAAGAAGCCATTGATGTGTGGCCTTGGGGTGCCTGTTGGCTGCAGGATGAAGCATGCCAAGGGAATGTTTAAGCGGTGCTTTTAAGGGCTGGCAAACGGCCTTGGAAAGCGATGTGGCCTTGGGCAGCGCTATTGCCTGCACGGTTCGGCGTTCTGAGCAGCTTTTGAGGGTTTTTAAGCGTTTTAAGTGTTTTAAGGGTTTAAGGGCTGGCAAACGGCAGGCTTGGACGCCCATAAGAAGCCATTGATGTGTGGCCTTGGGGTGCCTGTTGCCTGCAGGATGAAGCATGCCAAGGGAATGTTTAAGCGATGGCTTTTAAGGGCTGGCAAACGGCCTTGGAAAGCTTTTAAGGGTAAGCGTTTGAGGCCTGGCAAATGGCAGGCTTGGACCCCCATTACGGGTTGTAAGGGTTTTAAGGGTTTTGAGGGTTTTTAAGCGTTTTAAGGGTTTAAGGGCTGGCAAACGGCAGGCTTGGACGCCCATAAGAAGCCATTGATGTGTGGCCTTGGGGTGCCTGTTGGCTGCAGGATGAAGCATGGCAAGGGAATGTTGAAGCGATGGCGGTTTTGAAGCGTTTTAAGGGTTTAAGGGCTGGTAAACGGCAGGCTTGGACGAACATAAGAAGCCATTGATGTGTGGCCTTGGGGTGCCGGTTGGCTGCAGGATGAAGCATGCCAAGGGAATGTTTAAGCGGTGCTTTTAAGGGCTGGCAAACGGCCTTGGAAAGCAATGTGGCCTTGGGGCAGTGCTATTGCCTGCACGGTTCGGCGTTCCGAGCAGCTTTTGAAGGTTTTTAAGCGTTTTAAGGGTTTAAGGGCTGGCAAACGGCAGGCTTGGACGCCCATAAGAAGCCATTGATGTGTGGCCTTGGGGTGTCCTTGTTTCTAAGATGGCTGCAATATAACATTAGACTATAACGTCATGGGAGTCCAAGGTCGAAATGGTTTAAGCGGTGCTTTTAAGGGCTGGCAAACGGCCTTGGAAAGCAATGTGGCCTTGGGGCAGCGCTATTGCCTGCGTTTTAAGGGTTTTAAGGGTTTAAGGGCTGGCAAACGGCAGGCTTGGACGCCCATAAGAAGCCATTGATGTGTGGCCTTGGGGTGCCTGTGGGCTGCAGGATGAAGCATGCCAAGGGAATGTTTAAGCGATGGCTTTTAAGGGCTGGCAAACGGCTTTGGAAAGCTAAGAAGGAGAAGTTCCACACCTGTGGTGGTCCCAGGCGCCGCCCCTGCCTTGGCCACGGCCGGGGTCGGCGGATATACATTATATTATATATATTATATTATTATATTATATTATATTATATATTATATTATATATTATATTATATATTTTATTATATATATATATATTATATGTATTATATATATATTATATAATATATATTATATATATTATATATAATATATATTATATATGATTAAATAGATATTCTTTATTCTATATTACTCATCTTCTAATATCTCTCTCTATCATCTCTCTTCCCTCCTTTCTATTCTTCCTTTCTTTTTCTATATATAATAATATTATATATAATATATATTATATATATTATATACATTATATATATTATATATATTATATATATTATATATAATGTTTATTATGTATATTGTATATTATATATATATTATCTATATTATACATATTATATAAATACTTGTAATATACAATATATATATATATTATTATATGTATATATATTATTATATATATATATTATAAATATAATAATATATATCATCTATATTATAATATATGTTTGTATATATTTTAATATATATTATATGTATATTATATTACATATTATATGTATATTATAGTATATATATTATACTATATTATATTGTATTATATTATATTATATTTTTTTAATTATATTTTATTTTTTAATATTTATTTTTTATATTTTATTATATTATATTTTATTATATTTTCTTATATTATATTATATTCCTATGTTATAATATATATACTATATATATATGCGTCTCTATATCCATATATCTAATCTATATCTCCACGTATATGTATATATACCTGCATTATGTATTATGCTACACACATCTGTGGGCTTTGGTCCTCTCAACTACTTTGGAAGCCCAACTTGGATATGTAAGATTAATGTATAGACACACACATCAATATCTATAATTATCTATAATTATATATAACTATGTATATATATATTTCTATAATTACATATGTATATATATATGTATATACATATATATATATGTATATATATATATGTATATATGCATATGTATATGTATGTATTTAGAGTACATGTACACATACAGACAGCCAACAGCAACTTCCAGCAAACCAGCCACCTTCCCGAGTCGCACCTTCCAGCGAGCGAGGTGATTTTGGATTGCAACCATCGAGCGGTTTGCTCGCGTTGCCTGGACCAGGTGGGGGCTGCTGTCCGAAAAAGGTGAATAGCTGGGTTACCCTCTGGTAAACGTTTACATAACTATGGAAAATCACCATTTTTAATGGGAAAATCCACTATTTCTATGGCCATTTTCAATAGCAATGTTAGTTTACCAGAGGGTAGCATCAATATACAGCAAATGGGGGTTTCCAGAAATGGCCCCCCAATAGCTGGAGGGTCTACAGAAAATAAGCTTAGAATCGTAGATGATTTGGGGTATCCCCATTTTAGGGAACCCAAAAAAATGTGAAATATTTTTCAGGACGAACACAATATACAGATGACTAAAAGAGCAATCTATGCCATACTCATCAATATTCACAGATTGGGGACACGTACCATCGTACCATGGCTCTAAGTTGCAGTTTGACCCTGACCATAGCCAAGGTCTATTGGCACGTGTCTTGTCTTCCCCCAACTCATGGCAGGGTCGTCATGTCGTCATGTTAGAGGGATGGCATATGATGGCAGGATGGCATTTCCAACAAGAAATCTTGCTTTAACTAGCCAGACATGGACTTTATATGACTTTATTCTTTACAAAGCATGTGGCGCTTTTCACAATCTGACGTGCATTTAGAACCATGGAACCATGGAACTATGCAGCTTACAGCGACGAGAATTGTATCAAAAACCAATAAACATTGTGGGTTTCCGTCAGCCAAACATCTGGTTTTTTGAAAAGTTTGGTGGATTTTGAGGGTTCTGAAGTTTTGGACTACGGATTGTTTTTTTTTTTTACAGACATTGAGAAGGGAATAGATCGCGGGTCGGCCGGTCCATCCTGGGATGTGACCAGGTGAATACATGCCCTCTGTGCAGAGCAGACATCACGTCGACGCGCACGACGTGACCTGGACAGTGAAATTTTCGAGGGTTTCTCCAAAGATTGGGATGTGGGATGATTTGGGGATACTATGGATTCCTATGGATATCTGGTTGGTGGTTTGGAACCATGGAATTTTATGACTTTCCATATATTGGGAATCTCATCCTCCCAACTGACGAACTCCATCATTTTTCAGAGGGGTAGGGCTCAACCACCAACCAGATATATAGGGATTTAACAATGAACAATTGGGAGAACGTTTGGAATATATATTTTCTGGATTAACCAACCATAACTTCCATACTGCAATGACATTATGGTTGGGTTATATATCGATAATGTAGGTTAACCAATTAACATTTTCATTAGAACCGATGATCAACCGATGATCTGGAGGTTCCATGTTTTATGTTCCCGAAAAGATGATCCAACGACTCCTGAAAAAACCACCAGGGTCACCAGACACAATCGGTACCGGGATGAGCATAAAATTCGGTACCGGGTACCCCCAATAGTTGGACGGTGAATTTCATGCAAAATCCCATTAACATAGATGATTTGGGGGGGTACCCCCATGACTTAGGACAGCTCCATAAATTCAAATCCTGGAGATGATTCCATGGGAAAGCATTCAACCCTGATGGACACGACATTCAAGTGATGGTGATAGTGACTATTAACTATTAAGGATCCCTCATCACCATCACGGGTTATGTATAATTCTATAAAATATTATTACCACTATTATTCATATCATTACTGCTACTATCATTACTATTAGTGATTAGTATTATGAAGTCATTATTAAAATTACTTATTTATAAATTGCTATTTACCATTACTCTTACTATTAACTAATATCAATCATTCACTAGTATTAACATGTATTAACAATCATTATTCTCACCATAAGTTTCACCGGGTTTCTTAAGGGCTGCCAGGGGCTGAGGGACTGTGCGGGCTGACCGTGCCAGGTACAACGCGTGAGACCCGCGAGGCCCTGGTGGAGGTGGTAGGAAGAAATTGGAAGCGTACCAAATGGTCTCCACTTATATATACACTATATATGTATATGTATATGTCTATATATATATACATTACATTACATTTACAATACATTACATTACACTACACTACATTACATTACATTACATTACACTCATACATTACATTCATAAATACATACATACATTACATTACATTACATCACATTACACTCATACATTACATTCATACATACATACATACATGCATACACACATACATACATACATACATACATACATACATACATACATACATACATACATACATACATTACATTCATACATACATACATACATACATACACACACATACACACATACATACATACATACACACATACACACACATACATACATACATACATACATACATACATGCATACACACATACACACATACGCACATACACACACATACATACATACATACATACATACATACATACATACATACATACATACATGCATACACACATACACACATACACACATACACACATACACACATACATACATACATACATACATGCATGCATGCATGCATGCATGCATACACACACACACATACACACATACACACACATACATACATACATACATACATACATGCATACACACATAACACACATACACACACTACATACATACATAACATACATACATGCATACCACATCACACATACACACACACATACATAATACATACATAAATACATACATGCTCACACATACACACATACATACATAAATACCAATACATACTACATACATAAGCATACCACTACACACATACACACACATACATACATACATACATTACATTACATTACATGACATTACATACATTACACTCATAACATTACATTTCCAATCATACAATACCTACATGCATACCACATACATACAATACCATACAATACAATACATACATACATCATACAATACATGCATACACACTACACACATACACACATAACACACATGCATACACACATAACACACATACACACACATACATACAACATACAACACCATACATACGACATACATACATCATCATACACAACATTCACCATACACACACACACTACATCTAACATCTACATACAATACCTAACAATACTACATGCATCACACATACCCACATACCCCATACACACATCCACACTAACATACATACATACATACATACATACATGCCAATACCCACATACAACATACACCCACACATACATCATACATACATACAATGCACTACACACATACACACAACAGAACATACACCACACATGCAATACTACATACATACATCATACATACATACAAATACATACCATCACATACTACATACATACATTGCATAACACATACACACATACACTCATACACACCATACATACATACATACATACATACATACATACATACATGCATACACACATACACACATACACACCAACTACATACTCCATACATGCATACACACATACACACAATACACACATACACAACACTACCTACATACATTCATACATACATACTACATACGGCTACACAACATACATACATACATGCATACACACACACATACACACATACACACACATACACACACATACATACATACATACATACATACATACACACATACACACATACACACATACATACATGCATACACACATACACACATACACACACACATACATACATACATACATACATGCATGCATGCATGCATGCATACATACATGCATACACACATACACACATACATACATACATGCATGCATGCATGCATGCATACGTACGTACGTACGTACGTACGTACGTATATATATATATACATATACACATACATAAAGGTATATATACATTTCATGTGTTTTTTTGTTACAGAGTAGCCACCCCATCCTGTCTCAGGTCAGCGTGACCTTATGATGGCCTCACTTTATCACCACGCGGGGTGATTTCCCGGCCTTCCCTGGGACCAGCACTGGCGAATGTGGTAATGGCTTGAAGCTAATTGGAGGTTTCCATAAATAGGGGTACCCCAAAATTATCGTTTAAAATGGATGATTTGTGCAAGGTGGTGCCCCAGTTCGTTAGCTAAGTTGGTGAACATAACTCCCATAACTATGGTTTATGGTAGATATAACTATAGTTACTGGGGTTTATAAACCAACTTATAACTGGGGGGCACCATCCTGTGGGGAACACACCCATTTATGGACAAAAAATTGAGCACCGCCGCTGGATACCTTGACAGGGTCAACAGTATCAATCGTATCCTGTCGCAGCCAGCCCCTTTTTTTTAAGGCTTGGGCCCAGGTGATCGGCTCACAGATGCCACAAAGGATGGCTCGAGTAGTTTGGTGCCTGAGATTTTGAGGATCTGCCGGCAGTCGTTCGTTATGTATTGGGAGGCCAATTTGGTGGAAGTTTAAACACAAATAATGTCTTTGGACCCTAATTTTTGTATTGGCATGTATTGGCAAAGGGCTTCGGCTTGAAAAATCGTTGCATCCATTGACTGGACAACTTTGGTTCCTTGAACTTATGATTTTCTGCAAGGTTGGCCATGTTCAGGTCCCCCAAGTTGAACCTCTGATGACTCACGCGCCTTCTTTCAGGTAGATCTCGAGGGTATCTGTTCTCCAAAAATCTCTGTGGCACGACATCTGCATCCGACTCTCCTGGAACAGTTGAGATCCGGACCGCGATTCGCGGTTCACAGCGCACGGCTCCCGCGTTCTCCTCATGGCTTCAGGTTCTCCAGGTTCAGGTTCGCCCGGAAGCCTGGTTGCATCGGGTGTGTTTTACGACACTGAGGCGATGGGAAATCCCAATGGGGAAGAACTATATATATAACTAGGGATTTTCCATGGTTTTTCTATGGATTTTCCATAGGTAATCATGGTGCAATGCTGCAATCCACCAAACCCCGAGTTCGCTGCAGTTCCCTTTGGGTCCGTCGAAATTCGTCGACCGAGGTCAATTCCAGCTGCGATGCAAAAAGCAGCGATTGCGCGGCGAAGGGAACTTTGGAACACGCAGATCTTGGTGATTCGCAAAGTACCTGAAAAATGGTGATTTATAGTGGATTTAGCCATTGAAAATGGTCATTTCCAATAGCTATGTTAGTTTACCAGAGGGTAAGAGAATTAATGAGAATTCTGGCCCTACTAGTCTAGTGCACATATGATTGTCGATTGTCTAAATATTTTTCTTACAATAACACCAATATAGACATACATAGAATAGCTTTACTGAACCTACGTTCGTAGGTTGATGTTATCCCTGTTGGGATTTCAACATGTTCATTTGCTGGGCAACTTGGACATGGTGATATCGCCCTGCAACTTCCAAGTTCCTCGTCACATAGGTTCAGGATGCAGTTGGAGAGTGAGCTGGTTCCAGAAAAGGAACCGTGGGAATAGCATGGGAATAGCTGGAACATCAAGCAAAACCGTGGGATCCCCAAAGAGATCGCATCAACCCTCTTTTCAAAGGCTCCAACAGAATTTGAAACAAGCTCCAATCAGCAGTTGTGCACGCTCGGCGAAGCATCGCCCTGCACTTTTCATCATTTTCAGGGACTCAGCTGATCCCCACCCAATCTGAAGGTTCCCCAATCATGTCCATCTTATGAAACATGCTGGTTTGGAGTAGTCCATCTTGGTCTCTTGGGAAACGCTCACTCTTCCAGGTAGCCAGCTAGGTAGCCAGCTAGGTAGTCAGACTTCCAGGTGCCAAGCTCAGGTCTAGCCAGGTTAGAGGTGTCAGGTGCCGCAGTGTCGATTTTTCTCATGGGTCGAGTCGTTGAGGTACCAAAATTCAGCCGCAAGTGGCTGATCAATATATATATATACCCTCTGGTTATGACTAACATAGCCATGGTATAGATGGCCCATTTATACATGGTTTACCTATTATAAATGGTGATTTTCCATGGCTATGTTAAATAACCAGATGGTAATAATGATTAATTACAATAATAGTAGTAATTATAACATATAACAACAGTGAGAGTAGTGTAGTAGTGATGATAAAAACGGCGTGACAAAATCGTAGCGATCAGCGCGTAAACTACAATAATCATGATTAGGAATTCAATTCGTGATAAGAATGGCAATGATCACATCAGTACAAAAATGCTGATTGATAATTAATTTAATTAATAAGAATACTAAGTAATTAATAGTAATAATGATAATAATACTAATTAATTAATAGTAATAAGAATACTATCATTGATATTAATTGTTGAACCATCATGATTGTTACACCATGCATCTTGGGCTCCATTCTGTCCATCTCCAGATCTTCCCCAACGATAGGTCCTGCATCAGTAACGATCGCGAACCGCTGACCAGAGCATTGTTGAAATGCTGACGCTGCTGGCACGTCAGTCTCACTTTCGGTACTCCAGGGAAGCCTGTCCAAGGCCAAAAATCAGACCGACCCAACGATCGAACGCACGGAGCTTTACTTGCCCCGACAGGTTTTCTTGGTCCAGTCCCTTTAGGTTTCTTGGTGCAGTCAGTTGTGTGGTCTGGCCCTGAAGCTGATGGTGAGAGTTGTTGATGACATCCTAGTCACGCGCTGTACCATGATTCGCCCTGCATGCATCATATTTAAGGTTCTAACTTCTAATTATATACATGCCAGTTTACCATGTAGCCACATATTATACATACACCTGTATACTACATATATATACATATGTATTATAAATACATACGGTACAGCATATATATATATATGCATCGTATGCATACATACATACATACATACATGCATGCATGCATGCATGCATGCATGCATGAATGTATGTATGTATGTATGTAATGTATGTATGTATGTATGTATGTATGTATGTATGTATGTATGTATGTATGTATGTATGTATGTATGTATGTAGTATGTATGTATGTATGTA